GTGTAGTCCTGACCATCCGAGAACTCACTGTGTAGACCAGGCTGTGTAGATCCGCCTGCCTGTGCCTCCTGAGTGTTGGGATTAAAGGGGCATGTGCCACCACCTCCCAGGCCTTGGCTGCAGCTTTTAAAGATCAACAAAAAGAAATGTTGACTTTTGAACCCTGATCCCTTGGACATTCTGAACTCCCTGCCTGAGGTCTGTGTACCAAGTTCTGCAGCCGCCAGAACCAGGAAGAGACAGTAGGGATATACCCCCACCCTGGGCCTGCAGTGGCCCTAGGGGAAACTTCTGGTCTTTAGAATGAGACAGAACTTGTTACTCTTATTCTAAGCCATTCTTCATAGCCCTATGTCTCAGCTCCATCTTCCCAGACAGTGTCTGGCCAGGGCCCTGGATCCCTCTCCTACCTTCACCACAGAGGGTTCTAGAAAGGCTCAGCTCATTCGGGAGTCTTCTCCCTGCCCACTTCAGAGTATGGGGTGTCTAACAACCCAAAGTATGGATATGTCTGCCGACAGAGTGTACCTATGCAGAAACTGTGAGTGAGATCCTACTAGGAAATGTAGGCACATGTAAGTGAAGATGTCACCTGTCATCTGGGTGTGCTCCCTTTGCTCTACCCAGAGAGGAATCATGGGTAGGTAAGACGTTCATGGTATTGGCTGTTCTGGGCCCTGGAGTGCTCAAGACTTACATACTAGACTGAGGAACCTAGAGACTTACAATTGCGGGCCCTGGGTGCGAGGGACCTATGGCTCTAGGCTTTGGGAACTCGACACTCAGGTTTGAGACTTATTACTCTGGGCTTTAACCACCCTGGCACTTGGAAGCTATTGAACCCTTAGCTTTCAGCAACACTGAATGGTAACAGAAAGCAGCAGGTGGCACCGCTTTCTGTTACTGGTCTTTTACAGGCCTCGGGCGCCGGGACCCTCCACCCTGTCGCAATGATGTTATAGCCCAGAGTGCGAGGCTTCTCAGCCATGACAACTGGCCTGAAGTAGGATGTTTTTCCATATCCTGGGCAGCTCCCTCGAACTTGCCCAACGATCAGGACTTACAGTTTCTCATCTTCAGCTCTTGACATTCCTCATGGACTCTGCCGCCCTTGCTCCCTGTCATTCCTGCCCCAACCCTTCTCGAGAACGCCTCAGCTCTCCTCTGGCAGTTCTTGCCATGGCTGTTGCTTGCTCGGCTGTCCCTCAGCTACTGCCTTTGTGACTGCTGTCCCGGTGTCCTCTTCATGTTCCCAGCTGATTCTATTAACTGATAAGGCTCAAAAATAGACTTCTAAAGAAGTTTCTTATTGGATTAACTGTTACAAAACCAGGAGCCACACAGAAGGAACAAAGGACTTTCTTGGTACTGATCACAGGCTCTCTGCTGCACCAAAATTTTAGCCCTCTGGCCTGGGTGAAATGGCTGCGGGGTCATCTGGAGTTCACCAAGTCCTGCACAAACTGTTCGACCCAGCCATAGCTGAAACAGTGCCTTCTGGGGCTGGTGTTACCCTCCGTTAGCACGCAGCTGTGACTGCCAGGTAGCTTCCTCAAGGTGTCCAGGAGTGTTTACCTTGCTGGCATGAGGCCAGCCTAGCTGGCTGCTTACCTGGTAGTCCTTTGCTCAAGATGGCCAGGGCCTGAGAGAAGCAGCCAACATCTGTCAGTCTTGGAATTAAATGACCTTGTACCCCAAATCTTAGCTTACAGGAAACAAAGCCTTACAAAGGATGCTTACCATGGAATCTTATCAACAACGTCTTAACAGTAATTCAGTGTTCTCCCTCCTCCGCAGTACCCTAGGGAAATGGGGGCCCCAACGAGACCAACTCTCCCACTTCCTGCAATGTCCTTGAGGGACTGTCCCAGCTTACATCATCCCATTGCAGGAAGGCTCCTGATTAAAAAAAAAAAATAAAGGTTATCTCAGATCATCATCCCTTTATTTTATTTTATTTTTTATTTTTTGGTTTTTTGAGACAGGGTTTCTCTGTAGCTTTGGAGCCTGTCCTGAAACTAGCTCTTGTAGACTAGGCTGGCCTTGAACTCACAGAGATCTGCCTGCCTCTGCCTCCAGAGTGCTGGGATTAAAGGCATGTGCCACCACCGCCCAGCTCATCATCCTTTTTATGGACAGTAATTACAACCTGCTACATATGTGCTCTGCCATGTGTGGCCCACGGGAGGGGTGCATCCCCTGACACATTCAGACCTGGGAGAGGAGCCTCTATTGTATGTGGGGGGGGACCCCTAACTGCATATGGGCCTTTGGAGGGGACATCCTACTTCACATTGGCCATAGGATGAGGCACCCTGCTTCATGTGTGCGCTGGGGAGGGGCACCCTGCTGCATGTATGTACTTGAAAGAGGATGGAAACCCATTTAGCCAATTGCACAGCATATGCCCAATCCTGGTTTGTTGAGTCTGCTGAGGTGTTGAGACAGCACAGGCTCTTGACATTGGGAAAGCGTGCCTTGCAATTGATTCAGGAGGCAAGCCAATGGGCTGCTGCCTCCTGGAGCTGGAGGAGAATCTACTTTAGGCCTTTCCCCAAAATCCAATAGTTGTCGACCTGTGGTGTCCTTGATGTAGAGACAACATCTGACCTTGTCTCTGCCTTTACTTGCTGCGCGCGCGCGCGCGCGCACACACACACACACACACACACACACACCACATGCATATCTGTCTCCAAGCCCCCTTTTTATACGGACATCAGTCATATTGCACTAGGGTCCAGCTCACATCTTTCTACCCTCAACAACTCAGCTTTGTCAAGCCTGAGATGGCCACCTGGAGAGGTGACACACCTTGATAACAGCAGAAGGGGAGACTTGGATTTTAACCAGCCTGACTTCCCAACCTCTGGATTGACATTTGTCACCTGAATAAGCTGGGCATTTCAGTGCCTACATCTGCCCTCAGGTGCACCCCTAGCTTTCAAGCCATAGCAGCCAGGCCTCTCTGACTCTAGGACCCAGGAGTCTGAGGGCCAGAAGTGCCGTGGCATACAGATTTCCATGAGCAGTAAGCCTTCATGGCATGTATGTAGAAGTATATAAAAGTATGTCCCTATTTATATAGAATTATATAAAAGTATGTCCCTATTTTCTCTGCTGTGGGCACGAGCAGAGAGAGCACAGGACAAGGGCCAGACACCTCAGTCATAGATCCAGGCTCTGAGATTTTGGGGATCCGAGGCCCTTGCTTGCCTGGGGCCAGCCCCTCCCCTTGACTGAGCGGATCAATAGCTGTGGTCACCAGGTGCTGAGGCCACCAATTGTGTAAGATCTTTCTTAGATCTCCCAGCTGCCATCCTGCCTGGACCAGGGCCCGGGCCACTTGGCATTCGAGAAAACAGGATATGGCATAGGAGAGGGGCCCAGGGTGACTGTGTCCTATTGGTATGTGGATCCTGTTCCCTTCCTAAGTTCTTGCCCATTGGAAGGTTTGCAAGATGGAATCTGGAGACTGGGGTGAGAGGAGGGAGAATGAACTGGGTTGGGAATGAGTGGCTCATAGATAGGGTCAAGGGTCAGACCCATAAGTGGGGGCAAGGACCCAGATAGAGCCGAAGATCAGGGGACAGTCAGGAGAGCTATCGTCCTTTTGAACAATAACCAGTCATGCCTCTCCACCCCCACAAGGCTGGGCTTTCAGATACCAGCCATTTTCCTGTTGGCCCAGGAAGGGCTAAGGCTGCAATTATCATAACTCAGACCCAGGCACCTGCCCTGGTTCCTCTATCACAAAAGGGACCATGTCTACTGAGCATGCAGCTGACCTCACAGAGTAGGTGTGTGTTCACACTCTCCACACCCCACAGCTTCACACATCACACCCTCCCATGCCACAGCCTTGCACACCACAAACTTCACATACATGTGCATCTCTCCTGCCACAGGTGCCTCACAGCTCCCCCCCACCTTATGCCTCACAAACTGTGGCCATCACACTGTGAACATGCCCACACCCATGTACACACAGATCTTCCGTGCTTTACAAAGACTCACTCCACACTACAGACACGTCCTTCATGCAGATATTTTCCCACGCCCCCAAACATGCATCATCTACCCACACATCCATTCCACACTGCACATATATTTTCTATACGCCTGGTACACACACACACACACACACACACACACACACGCCCTGGCAACCACTTGTCCACAGCACACTGAATCTCAGATACACATAGAACTCTCTGCAGGAAACCCTGGCTTGTATCATGTGATTTGAGGAAATGTTTGGGTGAGACCCGCCCGCTCTGCGGCAGCACGGTTCTGCAGAATTCTTCCATGAGTCTCACATGCAGCTTCCGTTTCCTAGATGTGCACCAAAATGCAAAGAAGCAGCAGGATTCATTGTTGCGCATTTCATCTAACCCAAGAGAGCAGCCAAGCCAACATTTCAGTCTACAACCGTTATCCAAATGATCAATGAGATAACTGACACTTTTTCCTCACTTGGGATCTGGGAAATCTGGGGTGTATATTACTTATGAGCCCATCTCAGCTCATACTGACTCTAGCCATGTCCAAGGACCACAGTGGGCACTGCTTTCGGCAACAGGGCTTCGTAGAATAGATAGTCCTAGGTCAATGGAAGAGAGTGTCAACCTCTCCCCCCACTCCCACTCCCACCCCCGCTACGAACACCACTTCTCTTCTCTGTCTCCATAACGTATGAACCCAGGCCTTTCAGGCTAGTGTAGGATGTGTGAGCCCCTGTTCTCACCTGACCAGGCCTCTGTAATCCCCCAGCAGAATCTGTTCCCACTCAGGCTCTTGGGGGACCAGGGGCTGTAACAAGGCAAGAATGTCACCAAGCAACAGGCCCCGGGGGAGAGCTCAGGTCTCCTGCTTCTGCCTGCCTGCTCCCTGGGTACCCATGGGGCAGGGCGGGGCTGGGTAGGCGGGCACTGCTTACCTCCTCCCTCCTGCCTGTTTACCTGTGTTCAGTTACATTGTTGCCCTGGACCTGACTGGAGGCCCATGGAGCTTGGGGCCACAGGCCACAGGGGACAAGGGCCAGGCACCCAAGCCATGGCTCCAGGCCATTGATCCAGCCTAGGCTGGTCAGTTGGGGGTGGAAAGACCTTGGCCTGGATAAACAGAGGCTTCCAGGCCTGTTTGCAGGCCTTGCATCTGCCTTCTGCTCTTGAAGGTAAGCAGGGGCCTCTGAACAGGGGACCAGGATCTATGAACAGCCTGGTGAAACATCTCCTCTCAGAGTCAGGCCCGGCTTCCTGGAGCTCTGAGGGGCCTGAGTTGCTCTGAGCTGGACTTGCAGGGCCTCATTGGTCACAGTGAGCTGGAGCAGAGACCACGGGGTGCACCAAGCTGCAACTGGGGGATTGTAGGTGGAGTGAACCTACCTGGGTGTAAGGTGTAGGATGCCAGAGGGCTTCCAGGGACTGGGTGGCCTGAGATCCTGGTGCCCCGAGACAAGAGAGACCTAGTTTATGGGACTAGTTGCTTTATTTCTCATTCCACTTACGGCTTCATACCCTGGGCTTTCCAGAGAGCAAGGCAGACACGGAGCTGTGTGATCTACACACAGGACCCTTGACTCAGGCTGGAGCGTGCGTGTGTGTGTGTGTGTGTGTGTGTGTGTGTGTGTGTATGGGAGGACAGGGTGTACACCTAGGGGCCTGTATAATGAATAGGTAGATGTGCGTTCCTCAGGGTATCTCAGTCTCTGTGCATCGGTGGGGTGGGTGTGCGTGGACTTAAGTGTGTGCCAGGAGTTCCCAACAGACCCCTCCCGTGGCCCACACTCAGGTCCCTAGCTTCAGCCGTTCACAGCAGGGTTTCCTCTAGGTGCCAACATGTATGTCCCATGTTCTTGGGTCAGAGTCCCAGCTGGGCCCTTCTGCTCAGTCCTAGGGAGTTCATCTGCCGGTACTTCTGATTCCACTAAACAGACCATATAGCAAACAGCCGAGGCTGTGAGAGGTGGAATGGGGCCTGTGTGCCACCCATCCAGCCTGTGGCTGGGGCAGATCTCTCACACTGCGCTTGAATCCAGGTCTGCCCTGTGCTACCTAGCGGCCCTACCCCAGTGAACCCAGCCTGCAGAAGGCGGACAAGGATGCTCCACTGTCAGGAGGGTGGGAGCGGGTACAGAGCAGGGGCTGGGTCTTGCAGATGCTCGACCAGGGGAGAAGATTGCCCCCTTTCCAGGGGCTGCGTGTCATGGATCAGACAGAGAGCACACGCACCTGGTCCATTGCAGTGATGGGATCACCACTCCTCCATGGACACTCTGTGAAAGCTTCTAGCAGGAAGTTGCTGTCTCCACTGAGTGTAGAGAGGTTGCTTCAGAGTTTGTGGGTCAGGAGGGAGCTCAGAGAAGAGGAACACTGGGAAAGGGGACACTTGATTATCAGTAATAAGAATTCATAGGGCTTACAATTCAACTAATGGCATGCCCCAGGCTGGTGACTGGCACTCGGTCCAAAAAGTTTACTATTGTCCTCGTTATTCAAGTTTATAATCAAGAGAAGACCCATGCCAAGAAGGAAGAGGGAAAGTGGTGACGAGGTGGGAGATGGGTCAGCCACTGGGGAGTGTGGCGCCTTTAGGGTAGGTGGGAAGGACCTGGAGTCTTACATTCATTCATTGGACAGCAAGTGAAGGCCCACTCCATACCAGGCTCTGCAAGATGGAGAAAGCCTTGTGTTTGTGCAGTTGTTGGGCAGACAGAAGACTCATAGGCATATCATGGGAGTAGGACTCCAGAAATGCCATGAAGAAAATGTTGCGGGGAAAGGGGTAGGAAAGGCTCAGAGGAGATGTATGGGCCATGAGGCAAACTGAAGGAAAACAGGGGAGGCGGCAAACAGAAAGGCCCTGGGGTGGTAGTCAGCAGGCTGTTTGTCTTCAGTCAAAGGAGGAGAAGCAGAGGAAGACATGTGGGGTCCTTTTGGACTGCGCTCTAGGTAGCTGGAGCTACGTGTGGCTTGCAAGCTGGGCGCATGGTGATGGTATCATCTTGGCAGTTGTGTGGGAATTCACCGATGGAAGTGGTCGTGACTGGCCATTGTAGTGACAGTGGGTCTGGCAGAAACAGATGAAATGGCCTAGATGTGGTAGAGAGGAGAGAGGAGCTAGGATGAGCCAAGGGGATGCCAGAAAAGGATGGGGAGAACTGGATGGAGGCCACACTCCTACACCCCAGCACTCTGGTTAATGAGGTAAAGGCTAGCCTGGGCTACACAGCAAGGCTGTAGGTTCTTAGTGTAGTGGGAAGGTAGAGTCACATATTTTTATGATAGGCTGGACCTCAGAACAATGAAAGCCGTTGTCTAATAGTAAAAGCAGTGGTGTGGCTCTCCTCACAGTGGGTATAGAAGATGGTGCCAGGGGCTCTGTAGTCACTGTAAACCCCAACGCCATGCCCAGCAGAGATTTTGGTTCTCTGGGAGCTCTAACAAAATGGGGTGACTCAACCTGTCACCCAATTGAGGGGGTTGAGGCGACTCGGCATCCTTTTTGGATCTAACCCCCCAGGCCCTGCTTCCCATAAGCTGCTCCACTGACACCCCAGCACCCATTATTCATTTGAAGGAGACACCCTGAGCTGGGCTCCAGAGGTGAACAAGGGCAAAGGCTGCCTGTTTGTTTGTTTGCTGGTTGCTGGCTGGCTTGTTTAGAACAAGCAAGTCCAGAGTCTGGAACAGAGGATCCTCCAGCCTCAGACTCAGATTCCTGAGGCCTAGGATTGTGGATGCACCCTATCGAGCACACCTCAAGGCTCCGCTTTCTGTTTGGTTTGCCTTTGTGTGTATGAATGTGTGTGTTTTTTGGGGTATGGACACAGTGCATGCATGCTGCAACATACGTGTGCTAGTTAAAGAAAAAGGCCTCACCTCCTACCGTGTTTGGGATAGGATCTTGTTTGTGTTACCCGGCTCACAAGCTTCTGAGGGTTCACCTATCCTACGTCCCATCTTGCTATAGCAGCTCTGTGACTACCGATGTCCACTATTGCATCCAGTTTTTAGCAGGGTTCACCTGCCTCCATGCTGCATCTTGCTGTAGGAGCGCTGCAATTACAGATGCCTGCTATTGCATCCAGTTTTTATTTGGGTTCTGGAGATCCGAACTTGGGTCTTCACACTCGCCCAGTAAGCATTCTATTCAGTGAGCCATCTCCCCAGCCCCAGTTCTTATTTTGAAAGGGGAGATGGAGAGAAACAAGGCCCAAAGCCAGGTATGTTGGTTTTAACCAAGGTGGCCCAAGGTGCAAGGAGGTGAGTGACTTAACTCACCAAGGACCCTGAACCCTTGAACCCATTGCAAGACAGTACATAAGAAGGGTTCCCACTCCTAGTGGCTTCACTAGGATAAGGTCTCATGGCAAGGTCTTGAATGAAGGGTGAAGCCTATGACAAGAGAGAATGAGCACATCGGGCAGTGGTGTCGCACATCTGTAATCCCAGCACTCGGAAGCAGAGGCACATGGATCTCTGTGAGTTCGAGGCCAGCCTAGTCTACAGAGCAAGGTCTAGGACAAACTCCAAAATTATACAGAGAAACTCTGTCTCAAAAAACCAAAAAGAAACAAAAAGGGGGGGGGGAGAGAGAGAGAGAGAGAGAGAGAGAGAAGGAGGAAGGCAGGGAGGGAGGGAGGGAGGGAGGGAGGGAGGGAAGGCTTGGATGCCCTGGCACTGGGAACCATAGGGGGATTTTACAGCAGGTGGATGAGGGCAGAGGGCAGGAGACTTTCTGGTGACAATGTGGAGGATGTGTCAGAGAAGGGGACAGGAAGCAGGCAGCCTAGCTAGGAGACTGTTCCAAGAGTCCAGGTGAATCCTCCTACCAACACATGCTCTGGGGGTGCACTTTGGGGTCACAGTGACATCTATAGGAGATGGCGTCACAAGAAGAGAAAACAACAACCCAGTGAACTGGAATCCTTGCTGTGGTGTGTGTGTTTGTGTGTGTGTGTGAGTGTGTGTGTGTGTGTGTGTGTGTGTGTGTGTGTGTGTGTGGAGCCCTGGGTGGGTACTGTCCTTCTGTGTCCAAAGTTTGCTTTGGAGTATCTAAGATAGAGCAACAGAAGGAACTAGGAAGGGTGACTCCCATTGTCATTTGACTATAACTTGATAATTAGAGAAGATAGCCCTACTGGGGGTGGGGTGGGGAGGGGGACAGGACCCAGCTGCTGCTGTGTGATCTTAGCCAGGGGCTTAGCCTCCCTGAGCTTCAATTTGTTTTCATTTGTGTTAGTCCCAGTCATTCAAATACACCAGGAAAATGAGGCTAGGCTAATCCTAGCCTGAGTTATTTCCAAGACACTTGGTGTCTCACTTTCTTCACCTGTCCAATGGGTTCAAAGTCCCAAGAGGCTTACATGGGGAGGGCTGGCTGGAGAAGAACACATGGGGGCAGTTGTTCATATCCTAGGCAATCTGTGGATTAAATAAAGTGATATGTAAAATGTCTCCCGAAGGAATGAGATGATCATGAACTTCTGCGGTCTTCCTCAGTCCCAGGAGATTTTTGAGATGAGGAGAGCAAAGGCCCCCAAACCTTGCAGGGCAACAGGTCTGGGTGGAGAACAGGGATGGTTCAGAGTGTCTGGGGACTGGGGTGCATACATCGATTGGGGTGTTAGACACCCCAAGGAAGGAAAAACATGCCCTCAGATGGAAGGGAAGCCACTGGGAAAGTGGCAGAAGTCTGTTTCATCGTTCCCATCCATTTGTGGGCCCTTCCTTAGGATCCACAGGGAGTCAAACCATCTAGCCCTGTCACCTGCCTTCTGGCATGTACCCCCGAGGCCACTTCTGCTCCCTGTAAGCTGCTCAGCAGTCACTCTCAGTCCCCACTTGCAAAGTCCCTGCCCTTCCATGCAAAGGGCAGGGGTGCTGCCTTGCTTCTGGGCACCACTGGGTCTCAGCAAAGGCTCCCTTGCAGATGCCAAGATGTTTCCAGCTTCCTTGTTCTACCAGGATGCCCACCGCTGAGGTCCCCCAAGCAGCTGGTGGGCAGGGCGATGGAGGTGATGGCGAGGGAGCTGCTGATCCAGAGGAGATGTTCAAGACCCCCAAAAACACCAAGAGAAAAGCCCGAGACTACGCCCGCTTCACACCACTACTGCTGATCTTGGCTGCTTTGGCCTCAGCAGGAGTCATGCTTTGGTATTTCCTAGGTAATGGAAAGAGGGCCCAGTTGGAGTGGTACCCTGGGAGGGTTCAGGGTGGATGTAGGGAAGACTGTCAGGGCTGTGTGTGTGTATACAGTAGGATGGGCCAGGATTCCAGGTTCTGTGGTGCTGTTCTCCTTGAGTTCCTCAAGGTGAGCATTCTGCTGGACCTTTGTAAGTCCCATGCCTTAGTCTGCTCCCTTATTCCTTCAGCTGGGGAGGATGGACTCTTTAGCACCCAGTTCTTGGGTCGGGACAAGCCAGGGTAGGTGCACACCCCATTCTTTGCCTACAGCACTCCAGGATTATCCCTTGGGCTCAAAGCCACATGCTCTGCTGCAGGAGGCCCAGAGGTACCCACGGGACCTGGTACCAATTAATGCCTCTGCTCTTTTGAGCCCAAGGTGCTCCTCTGGGCTTCATCACCTCTGCGTCTCCAGGGCTAAGCATGGAGAACCAAGGGGACCACTAGACAGCATCCAGGCTTGGGAACCTCTTCTTCGTATCTGATGTTGCCTCTTTGGACCTGATATCATAGTCCTCAAGCAGTCCATGGAGCCACAGGAGCATCCGGCCATGCTCTGGGTCCAGAGAAAGCCTTCTGTCCACGCATTCATGGCTTGATGTTCCTGAGTGTTGGATGCGGGTGGGAGATAGCTCATCTCCAGATCTTGGTCATGGAAGGAAGTAGAATGATAAGATTAGTCTGCGCCTGTGAAAATGTTCCCCATATGATGTAGAAGATTTATCTGTCCAAGCATCATGCACCCATTCATCCACCTATTCATCCATCCAACATCTACCACCCACTCACCCATCCAACCAACCAACATCCATTCATTAATTTATCCATCCATCAATCTCTCCCTCTGCCATCCATTTCATCCAACAATCCATCATCCTCCATCAATCCATTGACCATCCACTCATCCATTTATCCATTCAATCATCCATCCATCTACTTCTCCATTGTCCATCCAACCATCCAACCATCTATCACCCATTCATCAACCATTCGTCTACCCACCATCCACTCATTCACTTATCCCTCAATCCAGCATCTATCCATCAGCAACTCAACCATCTAACCATTCAACCATTCATCTGCCACCTGTCAAGCATTCATCCATAAATCCATTCATCCATCCATAATCCAAACATCCATCCATCTGTCCATCTGTCATCCACCCATCAATCCATCTATCTGTTATACATCCATCCATCCATCCATCCATCCAGTGCCAGGCACAGGACTTTGTGCTAGGCTCTGGTGATGGCTTCTGTTCTCATGATTCCACTATGGTGTCAAATACAATTATAACATACCTGTTACGGCCTAGGGTGCTAAGGGAGTTCAGAAACTCCAGAAAGGACAGTTCAGCTTATTTACATGATTAGAGGCTTTCCATTAAACATTTAGATGGAATTCTTTTGCACATATCTACCAGTAAAATTTCAGATCCATGGACAGGACCTGGGAGGCTAGACTCACTTGGAACAGCTCTAGGGAGACAGATCCACTGTCTAGAGTCCAGCTCAGCTGAGAGAAAGATGTCATGTTGAAGATCGCTACCTTAGGGTTTCTATTGCTGTGACAAAAACACTATGGTCAAAAGCAACTTGGGGCGGAGAGGGTTAATTTCACCTAATGTTTCCAGATAGCGCTCCGTCACCAGGAATGTAAGGGTAGGAACCTGGAAGCCAGAACTGAAACAGAGGCTATGGAGGAATATTGCTTACTGGCTTGCTTCTCATGACTTAATCAGCCCACTTTCTTATAGCCCCAGGGCCACTGGTGCAGGGTGTTACCTCCCATAGTAAGCAGGGTCCTCCCACATCAATCACTAATTAAGAAAATGTCCCACAGGCTTGCCCAAGAGTTAGTTATTTTTGAACATCCTTCCTTCCTTCCTTCCTTCCTTCCTCCCTCCCTCCCTCCCTCCCTTCCTTATTTCCTTCCTACATTTCTTTTTTCTCTCTCTGTCTCTCTCTCTTTTCCTGAGACAGAGTTCCACTGTGTAACCCTGGCTGTCCTGGAACTCTCTTTGTAAACTGGACTGGCTTCAAACTCACAGACATCCGCCTGCCTCTGCCTCCCAAGTGCTGGGATTAAAGACGTGCGCCACCACCACCAGGTCAAGAAAATTTTCTCAATTGATGTTCCCTCTTTTCAAATGACTCTAGCTTGTGTCAAGTTGTCATAAAACTATCATCACAGTCCCCATGTCAAACAGGGACTGTCTTATGATGACTCATTGGTTCTTTTCAGAGATGAGTAATACAGGCAAAGGGCCCTTCACCACCAGCAGGAAGCCAGCACCCCAAATACTGAGGCCAGAGGGCGGTCTCATTAAGTTACTGGGTAACTTGTTTTCAGGGATGAAGAGCTAGATACTCACCTGGCAGTCATCTTTCTAACCCTTCCTCCTGTGCCCCAATGGGGTTCTACCTGGGTGCCAGGCAAGAGCTCTAGAACCTACTAGAAAATGCCACCCCCTTAAAACGTTCAAAGTAGAAGAAACCCCTGAGGGAGCTGTTAGGATAACTCCTCCTACCCAGACCAGCACTGAGTGAGGAGATGAGTGGAAGGCATGCCACACCCATCTTGGAGGGATGATGGGCCAGCGCGAAGTGGGGCAGATGACAGGACAAAGAGCAGTATGACTGTCTGAGAGGAGTGCTCAGCTTCCTGAGGCTCTCTGGGGTCTAATAGCGGAACCCCTTCCTCTCTCAGTCATCCTACAGCTCCAGATTGACCTCATTCTCTCTTGCTCCCCGAGGAAAAAAACCTCAGAAAAGAGGTCTCAAGACACCAGACACTAGCCCTCCTATGACGCGGGCTCTGCCTCCCACCCTCCCCATCTAAAACCGGATTCCAATCCCGTCCATCTTACTCACACACTGGGACCCTTTCGTCCTCCACATCTCCTTTGAGCTTCGTCTCTCACTGCAGCATTCCGAGAAGGCGCTAAGTAGTGTGGAGACTTCCAGTGAATGTCTGCTCTCATAGAGCCGGCAGAGCCAGGCTCTGCTCCACCCCAGCCCCAGCTCGTTTAGCCTCTATCATGGCCATTCTTGAATCTTGAATCTTGGTATTTGTTGTATTGGGCCAGGAGCATGCAGTCTTCCTTGCCATGCCCATGCCTTTGCCTTCAACCTCAGCTCTCACTTGTCCAGCATCCTCTCCTCAGGAAGGTTCTCCTTTTGGTCTCCACCTAGTTTTCTTCGGCATCCTTAGTGGTCAAATGTCCTTTATCCCTGGCCACTTCCACATCTGCTTGTCCCGGCTCAGGTCTATCCTCACGGTGCCTGCTATCACTGTTGCTGTCGCTCCACCTGGATGTTCAAGGATCCCCTCAGACCCCAACTGTGCAGAACACAGCTCTCCGCAGTGCCTACAATTCCCACTTCCCTGTGTCCATGTGCTTGCAGGCATCCCTTTTGTCCATGCAGCCGCTCCCTTTACTTATCCCTCTTCCCGTTTCCAGATTGCCCAACACAGCGGATGCTTAGATGCACTTTGGGGATCCCTGGATAACTTGGTGGATGGGGATACAGAGCAGAGTGCTAACAGTGCTGCTTGGAGGCACAAGACTCCAGGGACATGCTGAGGGTTGGAGTGACAGGTGAGAGAGGCAAGGGACTTTTGGACATGCTTCCTTGGTAACCCGTTTCTTTCTGCCCAGGGTACAAGACAGAAGTGACCATTAGCCAGGTGTACTCTGGCAGCCTCCGGGTGCTCAACCGCCATTTCTCCCAGGACCTGGCCCGACGAGAGTCCGGTGCTTTCCGCAGTGAAACTGCCAAAGCCCAGAAAATGGTAAGGGAAGGCAGGATGGCGAGGGGGGTGGAATGTGGGAGGGTGAGTCTGGTGAGTTTGTCCATCATTTTGCAGAGAGTGCTTACTGGGGTAGACCCTGTCCTGGGTACCATGGGAAGGGACTGTCCTGGAGGTGGCATGGTCATGCCCAGAATTCAACTGACTAGAAAGAAATCTTTATTTTGCCTCTTGCCAGGAGTACAGCAGGGACGTTGAGATTGTGCAGCTCATATTGCCAGGGCTCTGCCCCTCTCATACAGTGCAATGGCCATCGGACACTGGACAGTGGGCTACTAGCCCCTTTCCCTCTCAGCCGGGCACAGGACTGTATTTCAGGGGGGCAGGTAGAAATGCTGGATGCACCCCTCAGCCGTGAGAGAAAGGGGACGGCTGCAGGGCTCTTCATACTGGGTCCCAGGTGTACAGGGCTGTTGGTAGCGCTTCCATTGCCCTCGGCTCTACCTCGCTCATTAACAGCAGGCTAGCGGAACTTCCAGAGTGGGTTGACTATACCAGAGGTCACTGGGAGAAGGAGAGAGGACCCAAAGGTAGGCTGGGGCTTTGCAGGGCTTGGATGAGACTGTAGCAAGGGGAGGTTGCAGGGTAGGGTGAGGTGTGGTGGGGGACAAGATGAGAGGACTGGGCCTGGCTTAACCTTGTGCTTGTGTTGGTGGCAAGCCCTCGGCCAAGGCTTCCGTGTCAGGCTGGAAAGGGCACATGACGAGGAAGGGGCTTAGGAAGCCAGCATCCATGCCACCACAGAGGGTAACCGGGGCCTGTCTTCCTCCTCACAGCTCAAAGAGCTGATTGCCAGCACCCGTCTGGATGCTTATTACAACTCCAGTTCCATCTACTCCTTTGGGTGAGTCGTCCCAGCCTAAATGGCCCCCCGGTGAGAGGCTCAGCTCTAAGGGCAGGGAGGGCTGGATCCTATAGGCTTCTGACACAATGCCCTAATCATACTTTTCCTCAAAAGTCCAAAATAAAGGAAAGAAGAACATGGGGAAACCGAGGCACAGAGCGAGACCTTAGCTTCCTGCATGTGGTTCCCCTTTATTGAACTTGGTCTTATCTACAGAGGGTGGTGTGTTGTGACGTGGTTCACACCATACCAGGACTGGGGATGTCTCATGTAGGTGGGCCCAGGTTGGAAGTATGCTTGGGAACACAAGGACAGGAACCCAGTTTAGGACTTGGCTTGCCTGGTCATATCTGGTCTACCACTTACCAAACTGTCTATGACCCTCCTGAGACTCGATCTCTCCTCCTATGGGAGAGAATGAGAAGAAAACCTAGCAGGTGCCCGGTGGGTTTAGTCTCAGTTGTTCCCTTGAGTGGAGAGCTGTGCAGGGACGAGGCTGCAGGTCCCTTTCACCTCTGTCTGCATAGGGAGGGATCCCTCACCTGCTTCTTCTGGTTTATCCTTGACATCCCTGAGTCCCAGCGACTGACACTGAGCCCTGAGGTGGTGCGTGAGCTCCTGGTGGGGGAGCTGCTATCCAACAGCTCGGCCCTGGCTTCCTATAGGACCGAATATGAGGTGGACCCCGAAAGCCTGGTGATTCTGGGTCAGTATTGGGAGGGGAATCCTGGTGTGATTAGACCAGCAGGCCTGGGGGAGGCTATCCCCTCCTGGGAGGGGGATACTTAGGTGACCCCCTGTGACCCTGGAGCCAGGACAGAGGGCGGGGGCAGGTGGCCTGGGGGGCTGGCCTTGGACGAGCCTGGCTTGGCTCCTTTTCCCTGTTTTTATTTTCAGCATTCTGTTTATTTGGCTTCGCCCTTGTTTATTTGTGTGTTCGTTTCCTTTTGACAGAAGCCAGTGTGAACGACATAGCCGTACTGAATTCCATGCTGGGTACGCTGCTGTGTCCTTGCTTTGGCCTCTTTCCTTTTGAATCTGAGGGTTTCTTGTCTGGTCAATTGTTGGGGGTCCCGAGGCTTCCACTGTGGGGGCAGGGAGCCCTGACCTAGGAACACTGGGGGAGGTCACGGGGGGTGGGGCTGGGCAAGGGCTCTGAGCAAGGCTGAGGGGTGGAGGTCCAGGTAGAGGTGTGCTTGTGTGCCTGTGTCTTGGATGTGAGAGAGTGAAGGAAGCTGTAGATCAGTCATGGGGAAACCTATGCCTGCTGCCTGTCAATCAACTCAGCCTGCCCGCCCACCCTTTTTCCTACTGAAGATACATTCTTGCCAATCCATGCTCTGTCCCCCAGTCACTCAGCATTTAAACTGATCTGTCAGAGAGGATAGTTCTGGCTTATTCAAGAACTCTATCTTTATCCTTCTCTCCTCAGCGGAGCTAACCTGAGCTCCTCTCTCTGCACAATATTACATTGCTTTTCTCCCAGAGGCCCCACTGGCTTCTTGCTGAGCCCTGAGAATCCAGGTGCCAGCCGGAGCACCCTGTTGTGCAATGCTGGGGGTAGTGTGCACACTGTAGTCTATAGACTGAGTTAGGCTAGTGTACCCTGTGACTCTGAACACAAGCCTGCAGTGGTTCTCAACCTGTGGGTCACGACCCCTGTAGTAGTATGGGGCGGCAGGGCTGCGTCCCCCACACCCGGCCGCCCACATGGCTAGCTTATGCTCCGAAATAACAACACACAAACTGTATTCTTTTAATCACTGCTTGGCCCATTCTCTTCTAGGCTAATTCTCACATATTAATTTAACCCATTTCTAATCATCTGTGTATGGCACCCCAAGGTGCGCTTACCGGGGAGATTCTAGCCTAGTCCATCCTGGGTCGGAGCTTCATCCCAGGAGCGGGGTATGGCGTCTCTCTCTGAGGCGTCTGCTCCCGAGAGAGCTGTGGAGTCTCTGAGCTCACTTCCTCTTCCTCCCAGCATTTTGTTCTGTTTACTCCTCCCACCTATCCTCTAACCAATAAAATGGGCCAGGGCAGTGCCTTTATTAGCCAATGACCTTCCTCCATCATTTCCCCTTTTTCGGTTTAAACAAAAAAAAAAGCTTTAACTTTAACATAGCAAAATTACATATAACAAAACAGTTATCAAGTAAAAGTTACAATAATCTTTATCATAACTAAGGAAAACTATAACTATAACTAACTATTCTTAACTCCATCAAAGACTCCAGAAAGATACAGTACTACCTAAGCAAACAAGAAAAAAGCAACTTTTAAAACTCTAGAAATGACAGAGACATCTCGCTGCCTGGACAGTCACCCAAAGTTCCTCTGTACCGTTGGGGCATCCATCTTCAGCCTTTAGGCCCATGGTATCCAGCAGACATTTCCATAAAGCAGGAAAATTCAAAGTCAATTCAGTCACTATCTGTTGTGTCCTGCAGAATGTCTCGCAGACTCTTTCATGAATCAGGAACCCCGAAAGATCATCTCACCTTAGGCAAGTTCAGTAGTCCTCTCTCTGCGGGTTCTCTGTGTCCAGTTTATGCAATAGTCCAGGCAAGAGCAGTTTCTTGCCCAAATGGCTATCAAACTCCATAAGGATCCTCTTCGATGCCCATCTTCCTCTTGAAGTACATTGGTGCTGCCAGGAGCAGAGTGTCTCATTGTCATGAAAAGTCCTAAGTTATTAAAACATTTAAAATGCCATATTCTATAATCTTTGAAAAATATGAAGAATGCCTATCTAAAATATATCTATATATCTAGAAAATCTAACTAATATGACTACAAGCTTTACTATTATCGATGATTATCCATTAACAACCTATATTTCTTAATTATACAGTACATATTTAAATGAACTACACAATCACAATACCTTAATCAAAATCAGAAACACTTATACATATAACAAAATTGTCCTTAAATCTCTATCAATAAAGCAAAATCTATACTAATGCAAATTATTCATATCTATATCATATCCCCCTTTAAATGTAAAAGAACATTTATAAACATTTTTTGGGAATATGGGCGCAGTTATTTCTCTCCAAACTGCTTCCTGCTGAATGGGGGCGTCGTTAATTAGGTCTTTCATGGTATAACCTGTGTGCTAGTTTCATCTCAGTTGGCAGTTGAGCGAAGCAATTTTTTGAAGGCATTCACACCAACCCTTCAGGAGGGCGTGGTCCATCATACCAAATCGGAATAGAAGAAATGAACAGCGTCTCATCCTCTGTGAAAACAAAATAAGAAACTCCTTTCCAAAGTATCATGTCCTTAGATCCAAATTTCAAATTTAAGGCATTTTCAAAATATCTATGTTGGATTAGTTCAGCAGCATTTATAAATAAATATCTTTTAGCATCTGTTGCTCCTTCCTCAGCGTTTAAATAATTTAAAGAGAGCATAATAGCATACAGTATCAAAATTCTCTGTGTATTTTCCATCTTTGTGCAGCTTTGTTTTAACCTCTATTTTGTTTATTTTTACTTTTAACTCTTTGCTTTTTGAGAAAGGTTCTCTGTATCTTTGACCTGAAGTAACTCTGTAGACCAGGCTGTCTTTGAACTCTCAGAGATCCGCCTGTCTCTGCCTCCCAGGCATTCGGGATTAAAGGTGTACACTACTACACCTTGAACTCACAGAGATCTGTTTTGTCTCTGCCTTCTAGGCACTGGGATTAAAGGCGTGTGCTACCACACACAACAACTCTCTTCCTTTTTTTTTTTTTACTTTAAGAACTTCAACTTTTAGTCTGCATATATTTTTAACACACTTCAAACCATTTAGAAATTTTCTTTGTCTTTGAATCTCTCTTTACTGTATATCTCTCTTTTTCTGACCACATGAATCTTTAATTTACCAAGTAATCTCAGTAGGACTAAAGGCGTGGCTTTGCCAGCTAGATCCAGTCCATTCCTTAGCTTTCCAGCCTCATGGCGGATATACAGGCTGTAGCCATGTTTATAGCTTCTATGGCGTTTCAAGGTCCCTGCCAGCCAGCGAGCTACAACAGACAACACTCAAGTCCTCTCTCGGTAGCCGGCCCTCCTGCCTCAAACAGTCAGAGTTTGCCCTGGCAGGATGGCCCAGAAAGCCGGCATTTTTAAACGGCACAGCTTTTTTCCTGCTATGGCTGAAAACCGAAAAGCATGTGTTCAGCTTTTCGTCAACACCGTTTAAGTGTTTCGGGCAGGACCTCTTAATGAGCTGCAGGCTTTGCAGCTAAAGCTGAGTCAGGAAGCCTCTCTTAGATGAGGCACTTGCTTGCCTCTAGCAAGCAGAGTAGAACCGAGAAATTGCTGCTACCAAGAAACCAGGCACAATGCTTTCATTTTGTTCTAGAATTACTTCCCAAACTGACTCAGGCTTTATGTGGAAGCAGTTGTCCACGTGGGCGCCATAGAAGCTATAAACATGGCTACAGCCTGTATATCCGCCATGAGGCTGGAAAGCTAAGGAATGGACTGGATCTAGCTGGCAAAGCCACGCCTTTAGTCCTACTGAGATTACTTGGTAAATTAAAGATTCATGTGGTCAGAAAAAGAGAGATATACAGTAAAGAGAGATTCAAAGACAAAGAAAATTTCTAAATGGTTTGAAGTGTGTTAAAAATATATGCAGACTAAAAGTTGAAGTTCTTAAAGTAAAAAAAAAAAAAGGAAGAGAGTTGTTGTGTGTGGTAGCACACGCCTTTAATCCCAGTGCCTAGAAGGCAGAGACAAAACAGATCTCTGTGAGTTCAAGGTGTAGTAGTGTACACCTTTAATCCCGAATGCCTGGGAGGCAGAGACAGGCGGATCTCTGAGAGTTCAAAGACAGCCTGGTCTACAGAGTTACTTCAGGTCAAAGATACAGAGAACCTTTCTCAAAAAGCAAAGAGTTAAAAGTAAAAATAAACAAAATAGAGGTTAAAACAAAGCTTAAACAAAGGTTTAACAAAGTTTAAACAAAGGTTAAAACAAAGCCCCACGTTGGGCGCCAACCTGTAGTAGTATGGGGCGGCAGGGCTGCGTCCCCCACACCCGGCCGCCCACATGGCTAGCTTATGCTCCGAAATAACAACACACAAACTGTATTCTTTTAATCACTGCTTGGCCCATTCTCTTCTAGGCTAATTCTCACATATTAATTTAACCCATTTCTAATCATCTGTGTATGGCACCCCAAGGTGCGCTTACCGGGGAGATTCTAGCCTAGTCCATCCTGGGTCGGAGCTTCATCCCAGGAGCGGGGTATGGCGTCTCTCTCTGAGGCGTCTGCTCCCGAGAGAGCTGTGGAGTCTCTGAGCTCACTTCCTCTTCCTCCCAGCATTTTGTTCTGTTTACTCCTCCCACCTATCCTCTAACCAATAAAATGGGCCAGGGCAGTGCCTTTATTAGCCAATGACCTTCCTCCATCAGACCCCTCTGGGTTACATGGGATTGCATATCAGATATTTACATTACGATTCATAACAGTAGCAAAAATTATAACTATGAAGTAGCAGCAAAGATAATGTCATGGTTGGGAGTCACCACAACATGAGGAGCCTGTATTAGAAAGTCACAGCATTACAAAGGTTGAGAACCCATTCCCACCCAGAGCTGAAGTAGGAGTGAGCGCCCCAACCCCTCTCAGTGAGGAAGACAGCTTAAAATCCCAGTTACTCCTGTTCTGATTCCTTTCCTCCTGCCCTGCTGGCCAGACACTATCTATCTAATCTATCTATCATCTGTCTATCTATCTATCATCTGTCTATCTATCTATCCGTCCATCCATCCATCTATCATCTGTCTATCTATCCACCTATCTATCATCTATCTATCCATCTACCTATCTATTATCTATCTATCTATCTATCTATCTATCATCTATCATCTGTCTATCTGTCTATTATCTATCTATCTATCTATCTATCTATCTATCTATCCATCTATCATCTGTCTATCTGTCTACCTATCATCTGTCTGTCTATCTATCTATCTATCTATCTATCTATCATCTGTCTATCTATTATCTATCTATCTATCTATGTATCTATCTATCCATCTATCCATCTATCATCTGTCTATCTGTCTACCTATCTATCATCTGTCTATCTATCTATCTATCTATCTATCTATCATCTATCTACCTATCATCTGTCTATCTGTCTGTCTATCCATCTATCTATCTATCATCGTTCTATGTGCCTATCATCATATCTATCATCCCCCTATTTGTCACCTACCTTTATCTGTGTGTTTACCCTCTTTCTGTGTATCTATCCTCTATGTGTATATCCATCTTCTGTCTACGTACACTGCTCATCCATCTGTCATCTGTGACACTGCACAGTTAGATACAAACTGGCTGCTGTCTCACCAGCAGTGATGCTCTGACCTTGGACTGACTTTTCCAGCGAGCCAAGATCACTTGTGGCTTAGCAGCTTCTTCCTTAGCACACAGCCCTCAAGCGCCTGTCCCCAGAAGTCACAATGAATCTGGGCCAACCCTCACTCCTGCTTGCTAGAGGGGGCTTGGGGACAGGTGAGCGAGCTGCAGTTGCAGTCCGCGCTGCTATGTGCCGGGGAGCGGGGGGTGTCTATGAGCTAAGAGTGATTTCACACTTGTAAATGATGGGAAAAGATCTTGTGGAAACATGTTTTCTTTCTTGTTCTAGAAGCTCCCCGATAGCAGCCCTAGTTTTGCCTCTTAACTTGCAAAGCCTTTGACATTTCCATCATCTTTTTCCTGTCTGACCTAGCGCAATGCCCCTCAGGACTCCTTGGTCCCCCGGGAGTGGCTGAGGACTTTGAGGTGTTCATTCCCACAAGTTATAGGCATATTTACCAATTGAAACTGAATGACTGAGAAGTCATCTGTTGATCCACTGAACATTAAAACTTAAATTTTTATTGATTTATTGTACATTTATTTTAGACAGGATCTCTCTGTAGAGTTCTGGATGTCCTGAAACTTGCTCTGTAGACCAGGCTGCCCTTGAACTTACAGAGCTACTCCTGCTTTTGCCTTCTGAGTGCAAAGGTTAAAGGTGTTTGCAATTGCACAGGCTTAAATTTTATTTTTAAGAAAAGGATTCCCTATGTAGCACAGACAGACCCCAAACTCTCAATCCTCCTGCCCTAGTCTTCTGGGTGCCGGGATTTCAGGTGTGGGCCACCACACTGGACTTTATTTTTAAAATAACAACGAGCCCGTTCATATCAACAAAATACTTTTATAAGAAGTGGAAGTTTTCCCTAAAACCAGTTTGCTTTGAAGAACGGTCTTGTGACATTTGTCCGTTGGTGTCAGTAATGGCTGCTCTGTGGGTGTTTGTATTTGGTCCGCTGTGACATCACAGGTCACAGGGCTAAGGTCCTCTCCTGTTATGTCCAGTAGACAGAAGAAACAGGGGTCATAGTGTTAATATGAAAAAAGTCTGACCTTGGCCCCTCAGGACATCAAGAGCTCTGTGTGTGGTCGGGAAAGCTCTTGGCACAACCCTCTTTCTGCTTTATTTCCCCCTGTGTGGCTTTATCTCTCACCCCAGGTGATGGCTTTTGTAGCATCACACAGCTGAGTGGGGTGGCACATGCGTTGATCACAGAACTCAGGAGAATGAGGCGGGGTCATGGGACTTTGAGGTTAGCCTGAGCTACAATAGTGAGACCCTGTCAAAATGAAAATAACACCCCAAATACGCCACTACCCTCTTCTTATCTGCTTTATGGGGCTCCTTCGAAAGGTCATGGTCAGCAAGGTGTCAATGTCAGCTTGATCACCCTGGGTGGCCCAGGATAGACGGTTCTGGGTCTCGGCAGCAACTGCTAACCATAGCCAGCATCCGGAGCCAGTCCTGTGGTATCCTCCATGTCGGCATGCAGGCCATGGTCTATGATGCATTTCTGGTGGTGGAGCTGTGCTTGTGGCTGATGTGGGTACCCAGCAGACCCCCTGCCCTCCAGGGCACAGAGGGAAAAAGGTGGATGAGAACTCAAGCCCTCTCTTTTTTCAGTGCTGGGGTTGAACCCAGCGACCATGCATGCCAGTCACGTGGTCAGAAACCACACGCAACCTGCTGGAACCTTTCTAGGAGACTGAATCCTCCATGCCAGGCCCCTGTTTGCATTGTGGCTACCTGGGTGACTGATCCCCTCCAACACACACCCTTGGGGAGGAGCTCTCATCCCCACAGGGAGACAGACACACACACACAGTATCACAAGCTAGGCGCCAGCTCCAGACCGGACATGCTATGAGGGAAAGAACTGTTCTGTGCAGGGGATGGAGGTGGACTGAGCAGCAAGGCAGAGGATGGAGCCAGATAACAGAATCCAGGGAAGAAGGAGGGAGCAGCTCTTGACCCAGCATCCAAAGTCTTCCTAGAGGCCCGGTGTCAGGTGTGAGCCCTGGGGAGCTGGGAGTTGGGTCTAAAGGGGAAGAACACTTTGGCCAGAGAAGACATGGCCTCTTAGGCCATGAGAAAACACCTACGAGAAGCCAGATAGTGGGGGAAGTGTAGCGAGCTGCATGGAATCACACCTGATGGAGATGTATAATCAACTATGCTATGATCACGCAATGATTATCAGCTGCCTGCATATGCGTGAACCTATGGGCAGTGCCCACCTGGCAGTTCGGGGTTGGCAGCTCATGCCTACTTAAGGGCTGGGAGAGGTTTGCCCGGAAGAAAGAGGAGAGAAGAGAGGAGAGAGGTCAAAAGGAGAGAGAGGAGAGAGAAAAGAGAGAGGGGAAGAGAGAGGAGAGAGAGAAAGTGAATAAAGTCCTGGAATAAACTGCAGTGAGAAGAGCTCCGGTGGTCGCGTCATCCTTGCGGGACGAGGGTGGCCGTGACAGAGAAGTCTCTCCCTACTCCAAGCAAATGCTTGGGCAGCCCCTGTGCCTGGGAGATCTGTGCCCCACTGGTGTCTGCGTGGCCAGGGCAGGAGAGGGGACTGAATGACAGGTTGTAGCCTCAGACTCTTCCTGGCCTTTGATAGGCTATGGATTATGACTTTTTCTGTATGCCAGAACTCAAGAGTCACACAGCTGAGGCATGTCAATGCCAGGGTGATTTTTAGGGACACCCGACTGCCTCCCGCCACCTCAGGTTCAGTTCCAGATGCCCCAGACCTGTTGCTGGCAGAGCGCCTGGCCTCCTTGCCTCATGAAGCTTAGGGCCAGGCTTCCTGGGTGCTCCAGAGACACAGCTTTGCTGGCTCTGGCGTGGCGTCCAAGCTCATGGATGAAATGAGATTTAAGTAAATTACATTTTCTAAGCGCATTTAATTCATTATACTTAATAAGGAAACGGAACATATTAAATTAGGTTGAATTTAACGGGGGAGGACATCCTGGGGTGTGGGGTCTGTGGGTTGAGATGCAAGGGGAGGTGCGAAGTGACGGTGGCTGTCAGGTTGGCTGGGGCTGAGCCTCCAGTGGGGACAGCTGCGGGGCGACAAGCCACAGAGCTTTCTCCTCTCCCTTTCTCTCCTCACGGCCACAAGATCAGTCACTGTTTTTAGTCACCACTTAAGGCACTTCTGGCTCCGTGCGGAGTACCCCGGTATGTGCTGTCCTCAGCCTGTGGCAGCCCTGTGAGTGTGGACCACCGTCCTCAGCGTAGTCACTCCAGGAGGAATCCATGCCAGACTGTAGAGCCTTAACCCTGCTTAGCTTTCTATGGCTCCCTAAGGCCACAGGACAGAGTAGTGCTGGTCCTGATGTGATCCGGGCTGGCCTCTGTGTCTACCTTGCTCTCTTGCAACACCTGCTCCATGATAAGATTCTGCAAAGTTCCCTTCAGGCCTCTCTGCTTGTGTTATAACCTCCTTGCCATCCCTGCACCACCTGGGGCCAAGGCCTGCATCTTCTGTGCTTTTTGTATCTAGCGTTCATTCCGCCACACAGGGCTCAGGGAGTTCATTGAATAAATGAGTGAATGTATGAGTCGGGGGCTGGACAGGGAAGCTACAGGGGAAAGGAAGGTGGAGCGCCCAAGCCTGACCCAGCCCCTCCCCTCCCTGCCCTCTTACCATGGCTGGGGAAGTCTCCGGGGCCATTCCCAGTCTCTCTTCCTGGCTAAGGGCTCTGTCCCTCTCCACCTCAGGCTGTTACCGCTACAGCTACGTGAAGCCAGGCCAGGTCCTCCGGTTGAGGGGGCCTGACCAGCAGGCCTCTAGCTGCCTGTGGCACCTGCAGGGGCCTGAGGACCTCATGCTCAAAGTGCGGCTCGAGTGGACCCAGGTGGATTGCAGAGACCGGGTGGCCATGTACGATGCAGCCGGGCCCCTGGAGAAGAGACTCATCACTTCGTGAGTTCATGAACGGCTGAGGGAGACCCGGGGTCAAAGGTCACACTCTGTGTGCTGGGATCAGGTGCTGCAGCCTCAGGCCCATACGGCTGCTGTTGGGGGCAGTGGAAGAGGAGGCCAGAAGGGCGTGCGCCAAGCAGTGGTCCCTTCTCAGAGTGTGTTTCCCTATCCAGATGTAACTAAGCAGTTGTTGTAGGTGATCCAGAAGGTCCACTTTGGGAAGACACGTGGCTTATTAGCCCGTTCTAGAATCTGGCAGCAGCCTGGTATTTCAACCACCGCTCTGCTGCACCCTAGCTGTGTGCCTCAAGACAGGGATTTTGCCTTTTTGAACTGCAGTTTTTCCAATCTGTAAAGTGGGTGTATACCATTGCTCACCATTTGTCGAGATTGTGAGACCCCACATCTCACCATCTGTGCCAGGTAGGGAATATCCAAGAAATGTGAGCATTGCGACCCTCTCCTCCAGGGTGCGCAGAAGGCTCTTCAGGAAGTGGGCAGGCAGTGCTGAGTTGTGCTGTTGTTTGCTGAGGACTTACTTTGTGCCGGGGGGGAAAAAGGTGGTGTCATTCCCGTGTCTCTTGGTCACGCTATCTTGCACTCTTGTCTGTCCTATCAGGGTCTATGGGTGCAGCCGCCAGGAACCGGTGATGGAGGTGCTGGCGTCAGGCTCCATCATGGCAGTGGTGTGGAAGAAAGGCCTGCACAGCTACTATGACCCCTTCATGCTCTCGGTGAAGTCTGTGGCCTTCCAGGGTGAGGGTTCCCAGGGACGGAGCGGGGCATGGACACGGGCCCTAGTCTCTGGTGCCATGCCTTCTACCTTTCCTGTTGGCAATGGAATGAGTGCGGAAGTCTTCACTCTCCTCTCCTCTCCTTCCTTGTTCCCCCTCCCCCTTTCTCCCTTACACTCTTCCCAAGGCCAACTTCATTTTTAGCAAGTTGGAGACTGAGCCCTGGCAGCCTCCAGCAAAGGTGTCCTGGCAGGGCACCCCCAGGAGTTCTCCTTGGCTCTTCCATGGCCTCATCCACCCTCTTTCTGCCTTCCTTTTCCCGTCCCACACCACCCTGTCCCCTGGTTGTCCTCTGGGTTAGCAGAGCTAAACTTGAGGACTCTACCTAAGCTAGGGCTGGGGCCTCTTTAGTGCCTCTTGCTATTTATAGCTGTGTTTATTTCCCTGCTGTGTCTGTCTGTTTCTTCTCACACTCCTGGACCCTGCAGGGTCTAACAACTGGTATTCTCTTTGGGTTCCCAGACATTACAGTCTATAGTCCAGGGAGAAGTGACCAGAGAACCCGAGGTTCCTCCCCCTGAGTCCTGAGCTTCTATCTGTTTGACTCAACCAGCCTTTCCTCCTCTTGTCTAAATTTCATCTCTCTGTGTGTGTATGTATGTGTATGTGTGTGGTCTGTGTCGTGTGTGTGTGTGTGTCTGTGTGATATGAATGTGTGGTCTGTGTGTATATATGTGTGGTGTGTGTGTATCTGTGTGATATGTGTGTGTGGTCTGTGTCTATATATGTGTGGTGTGTGTGATATGTGTGTGTGGTCTGTGTGTATATATGTGTGGTGTGTGTGTCTGTGTGTGTGGTGCTGGGATGGACCCTAGAGCCTTGACACATTTTAAGCAAATGCTCTAGCATGGAGTTATGCCCTCAGCCCCTCCAAACCTCTTTGCAGAGGAGCAGCCTTCCTTCCACAGCTGCACCATGAGGCCTGCTGTGAGCATATTTCACATGCTGTGAAGCTGCTAAGTGCAGTGCCCGCCACAGCTGCACCGTGAGGTCTGCTGTGAGCATATTTTGCATGCTTTTAAGCTGTTAAGTGCAGTGCCCGCCACAGCTGCACCGTGAGGCCTGCTGTGAGCATATTTTGCATGCTGTTAAGCTGTTAAATGCAGTGCCCGCCACAGCTGCACCGTGAGGCCTGCTGTGAGCATATTTTGCATGCTGTTAAGCTGTTAAGTGCAGTGCCCTCCACAGCTGCACCGTGAGGCCGGCTGTGAGCATATTTCCCATGCTGTGAAGCTATTAAGTGCACTGCTCAGGTCACTGGCAAGATCAACCCGGTCAGCAGATAGAATGCACTATGCCCCTTGCACCTGCTCACTACTGCGTGAGCACTCTTCTCCCCATTTTGTAGATGAGGAAACTGAGGCACACATACACAGTCATGCTTGGCTCCAGGCTTTTCTGTTAGAGGCAGTGGGGTGCAGTGAGGTCCCTGGAGGGCCACGGGACCCAGTCTAATACTTGTTCTTGGACCCAGACTGCAAGGTGAACCTGACACTGGAGGGCCGGCTGGATCTACAGGGCTTCCTCCATACACCCTATTACCCCAGCTACTACTCACCCAGAACCCACTGCTCTTGGCATCTCACGGTGAGTTCCACCCCACCTGGAGCCTGCCCTCTGCTCAGAGCAATCCACTGGGCTTCAGCACCTGGGATGGGAGGTGGTGACATTCTGTCCTGCCCAAGGGCTCACAGGCTAAGTACAAAGCCTGCTGCGATGGTGGTGGTTGTAGCTTATCTGAGGGGATTGTTGCCCCAACTTGGCCACACCCTATGATACACATGATGACCTGCCCTTCTTTCCCAGGTACCCTCTCTGGACTATGGCTTGGCGCTCTGGTTTGATGCCTATGCACTGAGGAGGCAGAAGTACAATCTGTTGTGTACCCAAGGCCAGTGGGTGATTCAGAACAGGAGGTAATCTTCTCCCCTCCCCCTTCCTCACAGGGACCTCAAGCCCCCTTACCCCTGCCTGGCCTGGGAGATAGGAGAGTGAGTGGAGGCTGAGGCTGGTTCTGACTGTCCCCACCGTCCTGACCACCCCCAACTCTAGCCCAGCTTCTCTAGATGCCCTGCAGGCCTCGGTCAGATGTCTTATACAGCGATCCCAGTTAGAGTCAGTAGAGATCCGCCAAGTGTGGGGAAGGGGTGCAGGGCGCCTGAGAGCACACAGAGGCACCGCTAGCCTTTTCCCCACCCCCCAACATCCAGAGGACCCCATTGTCTTTGGTGCTCTTGGCTTCCACAGGGACAGCCGTTCGTTCTTTGGGTGGCCCTGGACACTTGTGTTCCCTGCAGTGTTTGCCCTGTTCCCTGCTCCTACCCTTGGCTTCCTTGCAAGGAAATCTCAAGCTAAGAACATCCTCTTGGGAGCTTTCAGGGGACAGAGGGAGCTGAGGTGTGAGGTGTGTGTGGGAGGGTTGGAGTTGGCCAGGAAGGTGAGGATGGACAGTCCCCCAGGGCCAGCAACCGAGGATACTACTAGGTCCTGTTTGCCTAGTGGTTGCTCTTATTCTAGATAGAGTGGCAATGCTTGCTTTTTCCAATTCCTCAGGACGATGACAGAAGGGAGGTTAAGATGCCCAGGCTTGATGTGGGCCCATGCTGTTGGAGTGACAGGCTCACTGCGACATAAGCCTGTGACATCTAGGGAACAGAGGTGTCTCCCACCACCTGGAGGAGGGTGCTGCCATGGCTTCCCTTCTCTTTCACAGAGCTCCCTCAGCCACCAGCCCACACTGAGAGTAGCTGGGCTCTTGCTTTCTTGTCAGAGCCTAGGTAACCCTGGCATTAGAGTTCCGTGATGGAAGGCGCTGTGTTTTCAGTCATGACCCCTCCCTGAGTCATGTCCAGAAGGAGAGGGGACAGCCTTGGACTTGGCACCCTCTTCCACCCTGTGCCCCTGACTATCCTATTAGTCGAGGCTGGTCCTGTGCCAAGTGCTGTGAATCCTGGAGCTCAGTGCTCAACATAAGCACCAGTTTCTCTGGAGTCACCCAGATGGGTCACAGTAAGGCCACTCCTAGTGGTCACCAGCTCCAGGTAGGAAGACTGGTCCTCCAAGCCTGGCTCCCGTGCTTCCTTCTTGGGCACTTACCTCTCCCTGCCTCAGGATCTCGTCTCAGTATGCTGAGGCTTGGATGGGCTGTGAGGATGGAGTGCTCATCTAGCATGTAGCAATCCCTGGGCTCCATCCACCCCAGTAATCTCCAATAACAATCATAAAAAACAAAGGGCCTGCAAGTAGGCTCAGTGGGTAAGGTGCTAGCTGCCCTGCCCCCTGGGTTCAATCCCCAGAACCAACCAACATGGTAGAAGAAAAGACCCGACTCCCAAAAGTTGTTCTTTGGCCTCCACAGACCTGCTGTGGCAAATGGGAGGACCTTTCTACAAAAGAGAGGGCGTGGGACATAGACCCCTTCTGCTGAAGACTAAATACGATGGTAGATGAAGAACATACCAACTGTGATTGTTAACTGGCCCTTACTCTATTCCAGGCAGGCCTGAAAAGGGGTTATGCACACCCCACAATCTAGCAAGGATGTCATGCTGAGATCAGGTCTCTACCTGTTTTCTGTGACTATAACCAAATCCCCAAGGCAGGGTGGTTTATAAAGAATAGAGGTTTGCTCGGCTCATGGCTATGAAGGTTGAAGTCTAAGAACATGGCATCAGAATCAGTTTGGCTTTCTGCTGAGTCATGCCATGGCAGATGGGGTTACGTGAGGAGGCAGGGCCAAACTGCCTTGCATGACAGCGTCCTTCATCTGTTAATTCATGAGTAGATGAATGCATTCATCAAGTACAGCCCCTGACCCCGTCACTTTACAAAATGTCCTTCCTCCAAACCGGGTTTCCAGCTGTAAACTTCAGGACTGTTGCCTGGAGCCCGGAGGCTGAGTCATTTGCCAAAAGCCCCTGTGGCTTGTGACATCATCATGGAGCTCAGGCAGCTGAGGCCCCTTGGGCATGACTGCCAGCGGTTTCTGTCCATATGTGTGTGCACACCTGCGAGAGTGCTCACTCTTGTGTGATGTGTCCCTACAAAGGCTCCCAGCAGCCTATGGCATGCTATCTCTCAAGAGAGCCATTCCTAGCCAGGGCACCCGCCTGTTGGTGGGACAGGAGGCCGTCTCTGTTGCTCTCGCCAGTTCCTCTGAGAATGACTGGAAAAGTCCCACCTCATCTCAGCCCCTCACTTGGGATGAAGGATCCCCCCCAGTGGAGACCTGTCTCCTGGTCCTAGGTCATGCCTGGCAGAAGACAAGGCATGATGGGAGCAACACAATGGAGGCCTAGTGCCCTGGTCTTTGGTTACTGTGGGCTGATAATGATATGTCATTGCTGGGAAGTTCTCTGAAGAGTGTGTCTTGGAAAATCTGCTGTGTGGGTAGCTGGGGCCTGAGACGTAGAGGAGGGGAGAGGGAGACCAGGTCCTTTGGCCCAGTCATTGAGGGGTACAGTTGAAAGGCGACTCAGCCCCTGCCCCCAGGTGCCAAGGGGGCCCTCCCACTGGCTGGTCACTCTTGGTCCCCACCCCATCCACCATTTTTTTCTCAGCTCTTCCTTATGCCCTGGCAGGATCCTCTGGTGGCCTGTAGGTGGTGCAGAATTTTGTCCTTGTAAGATCCGGCTGCTGGCTGCTGGGTTTCGCAGAACCTCCTCGTTGGGTGCTACCGCAGTGACGGCTTCCCCCATTCCAGGAACCTGCCCTTACTTCCTCTCCTGTGATGTCACTCTCCTGTGACCTGCCTGACCCTTTCTGCTAGCTTCCAGCTATGAGATAAGACCCATGGTAGCCCCCCTGTGGTTTGGCCTGGCTCTAGGTAGCACATCTGCATCCCTAAGGCCCTGTGGCCAGTGCCATGTGCTGTCACCTTGTGTCAGGTGTCACTTTTCCTGAAAACCATTTTTCCAGATCTTCTTGGAAATACCTTCAAGGAGGTGGGGGCAGGGGATGGCTGTCACCTGATTACAGTGCCGCCACCATACACACTGGGGCCTGGAGTTTGGTGCTCCCAAAGTCACACAGCTCGTCAGGTGACAAAGTTACATCAAACTGAGCTCTGCAGTGCTAGTCAAATGCCCTGGCCACCACAGAGCCAGCCACTGTCCCTTCCTCAGTGCTGTCTCTCTGCCTTTCTTCCTTCAGCTTGGCCCTTGTTCTTAGAAGAAGGCATGTGCCATGTGAGGCCCGGCCCCTCCTCCCTCCTTTCCTCTTCCCCATGTTTCTGCCTATTCACCCAGCATCTCTCCAACCCCTCTGTGGGGAGCTGCTGATACGCCAGATTGACAGGATACTCGCTGAGCATCTGGCTAAGTAAGCCCCAAGGGAAAGACTCTCCCCAAACTCAGAGGGGTGAAACAGCAAGGCAGGAACAGCAAGGCAGGCCACACAGGGCCCCAGCACCTTCTGACTCTAGCACTTGGCTGCCCAGGTGAGAGGGCCTGGTGGGCAGGAGGAATGGAGGGCGGGAATCTCAGAGGGCCATGCATGGGAACAGTTGCCACATGCCTGAATCTTACATTTGTTCAGGGGTGCTCCAATTCGCCCCGTTAACTTCCTGGGGCCCTTTCTAAGTACAGCAGTCTGTAATAACTATGTTATCATAACTAAAGCACAAGTTTATATAAATAACCCCCTCAAGACACAGTGGGGATTTCCCTTAGCCTGGGTCTGGGCTTGCTCCAGGACGCCCCCTGGTGGTACTCATCTTGTTTAGCGCGCCTGGGCTCTGGCTGTCTGGCCAGCAACCATGCTGATGCAAGTTAAATACCTGAGTCAGGAGTTAAACCTGAGAAGTTCAGAAATGTGTGCTTCATCGGTTCCCTCTTTGTTACTCATAGTAATCTGTGATCGGAAATACTTAAGCGGAAAATTCAGAAGCAAACGTGTTTCATTAGTTACCACTCTCTTTCAGAGCGTAATTTACAAAGAGAGACTTAACTTTGACGAGAGTATAGGGAGAGCACAGTACAGGTAGTTGGCACTGCCTGGAATTTCTGGTGTTCATGGGGGTCTGAATGTCTCCCCATACGTGAGGGGATACTACTGCGATTCCTTTAAAATGTGTGCTTTAATGTAAATAACGTTTTTTGAAAAATCACGTTTCCCAAATGCACAGCCCACTTCCCAGGGTCGTCCTCTGAGGATAACAATGTAGGATTCTATCTTTTCGTCCACAAGAACGGACGTTTCCTTAGCTTGAAAAGAAAGGGGGGGGGAGGGGCAGTGGCACAAAAGGCCAGGCTTGCTCTCAGCACCCCCTGGTGGTGATCCTTTCTGTGACGAAACAGCTGTGTTCTGAGATTCTCAAAATGCTCCTTCTCAGGACTCCTTAATTTGCCTTGAAATGATGGAGCACCCCAACATTTAGTGGCACAAAAGAACCTCCAAATCTTTTGAAGATTTAATGACTGGTTTAATAGTTTAAAACTGGCACCCTCACACCCCTGTCTGACATCAGTTATGGGGTACGAATCACCTGTCTGGAGAATTCTGCTGGGTAAGGCGAGAGAGATTGGGGGAAGAAGGGCTAAGCAGCCTTAGAGCCATGCCGTTTAGAATGCCTTCTAGGCCCCCTGAGGTCTCTGGACTGCACTCTGAGAACTATGAGCAGGTGTGAGGCACCTGAAGCCAGAGTCTGACCAGGAACCTGATGGTGAAGGTCAGGGGTTTGGGGGCTTGGTCTCCAGAGCGCCTCCTGCAGGGAGCTCGGTTGGAGGGGCCTGAATTCTTGTTCTACCTTGTACTGCTCCTTAGTCGTCTGTCTATGGGCTAAGGAGGCCTGCCTACCTGGTCAGTGGGTTGGTCAACTGTCTGTAAACAAGAAGGCCAAGCCCCTGTGTTTGGTGGAGAAGTGAGAGACAGCAGTCTACAGAGAGTTGGCCAGCCCACTGACAGGCAGGCCCTCTGCCTCTGCAGAAGCCTTTTGTAGACCCTAAGGTCGGCGGGAATGATGATTTTCCTTATGGAACAAGGGAAGAAAGTGAGACTTGGAGGCCACCGGCTTGTTAAATTCTCAGAGCTTCTGGGTGACTGGGGCTAGAATCTGGACTGAATTTTATCCCACAGGCAATGGGAAAGAGCCACTGCAGGTCTTTGAGCAGGGATGTGACATGAACAAGCTCCTTTCGAGAAGATGACTCTGGGACCGAGCAGGCAGTCAGCAGAGGAAAATCAAGACAGAGGGGGTGTGGGTGAGGCCGCTTCTGGCTGCCTGATCCTCATCCTATCTGTGTGTGGGGACCCCAGCTGTTCCTTCTCTTGGCTGGGAAACCAGTCCATGTGTCTGAGCCATCCCTGGTCACTCCTAGGCTGTGTGGCTTCCGTACCCTTCAGCCATATGCAGAGAGGATCCCCATGGTGGCCTCGGCTGGTGTCACCATCAACTTCACCTCCCAGATCTCCCTTACTGGCCCTGGTGTGCAAGTGTACTACAGTTTGTACAACCAGTCAGACCGTGAGTACGGCGGGGGAGGGGGAGGGGGCTACCCTGCCCCTTTGCTGTCCCCAGATGTGCACAAACATTTATGAGGCTAGACTACAGTGAGGGTTCTGTGTGTGTGTGTGTGTGTGTGTGTGTGTGTGTGTGTGTTTGCACGCCACATGTAAGAGCGCGTGCGCACTGGGCACAGTTCCATGTATTTCTTTGTGTGTGTCATATGGATGTGGTTTTGCATGGGCCATGGACATAGGTACTGGAGCAGGTATATGGGTACCTGATCATGTGTGAGGATATAGATTCATATACTTCATGCCATGTGTCCTAATGGTACCCTTCTGCTTCCATGGCTTCCCGTGGTTCTCCAGCCTGCCCTGGAGAGTTCCTCTGCTCTGTGAATGGACTGTGTGTCCCTGCCTGTGATGGGATCAAGGACTGCCCCAATGGCCTGGATGAGAGAAACTGCGGTGAGCAGTCTGCCACTGTCCCTCTCCCCCTGCCCCTCGCACTGATTAAACTCTACCCCATGAGTCCCCCTTATGAGTACCCAAGAACCCAGGGCTCTTTTACTGTCAGGATGGCAAGGAGGCAGCGTGGGAAAGTAGCCTCCTCGGAGCCACCCCTGAGGCAGTGTCTGGGACAAGCTGTGACCCTCAGATTTCTGTCCTAGCTAGTCTTCTAAAAAATAACCAAGAGGGGGAAGGCAGGACCAGGCAGGGATGGTTTGGGGGCTGGGACTGACAGGAAATGGGATCCAGGGTAGGAATCCTGTATCTTTCTCCTTGAATGGGGCCCTCATCCCTCTGGCCAGAGGCAGGAATTGGTGGTCTCCAGACTAGGGCTTTCAGGAATAGTTGTGAGAAATGCCAGTCTCTGCCCCTAGACCCACTGCCCAGGCATCGGAGCGCTATGGCATCTGGGCTGTCATGCTCCGCACTTGCCTTGTGTTCTCAGTCTGGGAGGAGAGAACCAGAGGAAGATCCTGAATGTCTGGGGACCTCAGACACATCATTCATGTCTGTCCCCACCAATGAAATGGGGCTTGCCAGGATTGCTATCAGAAGGATTTGTGATGGCGGACACGTGATACAGGGAGCATCTGCTGCCACTGTAAAGCCCCGGTCTGGTCTTCTGTGCCCACAGTCTGCAGAGCCATGTTCCAGTGCCGAGAGGACAGCACGTGCATCTCACTGCCTAGAGTGTGTGACCGGCAGCCTGACTGTCTCAACGGCAGTGATGAAGAGCAGTGCCAAGAAGGTAGGGGGACCCTGCCCAGGGTCTCCAAAGAGATCAGAGGGAGGTCACAGCAACACCTTCTACTACAGAGGTCTCTGTCTTCTTGTTCAAATACCATCAACCCCCTGTACCTATGACAGCATGATCAGCTGTCCACTCAGAGGTCTGTGTATCCATCCATCCATCCATCCATCCATTCACCCAACTATCCAACATCCATTCAGTCATCCACTCACCTGTTACCCAACTGTAATATCCATCCATTCATCCATCCATCCATCCTCCCATCCATCCATCCTCCCTTCCATCTACCCATCCATCCATCCACCCACCCATCCATCCACCATCCATCCATCCATCCATCCTCCCTTCCATCTTGACTTCTGAACCACCCTTTCCATCCACTATTTCACATAACTGCATGCTCATCCATCCATCCACTGACCTGGCAACCAACTCTCTGTATACACAACTACCTCCCTAGGAGACCACTGTTTCCTCCACTAGTCAGCCAGTCTGCTAGCCACCTGGTCATCCATCCACTCACCCATCCAACTGACAAACCAACCAGCATTAGCAGGCTACCAAGTGATGGGCCAGGTGCAGTGAGGGGGCAGAAATAAGACAACAGTGATGTGGTACCTGCCCTCCAATGGGTTCCCTTTTAGTAAGAGGACGTGACAGGTGACCAAAAGTCTTTGGGACACCCCGTGTGGTAGTGTGGGAAGGATGGGGGCATGGGGAGCATCTTAGATGTAAGCTTTTAGCTGAGCCCTGCAGAGAGATGGAATTTAAACAGGCTGGAGGGAAGGAAGCGAGGACAGGCACAGAGAAGGCAGGGTTGGGATGTCCATGACAACAAAGAGGGGAAGGGAGTCTTTGACTGCGGGGAAACGTGGCCCTGCTCTTGGGTCTCTAGTGGATAGGGAAAGCATGGTTTTGCTTTCAGGGCCATCATGGGAGTGTGAGGTCAAGCAGCTCTAGTCTGAGAGGGAACACAGCCTCACTATCAATGGGACCAGGCTGCATAGGGGTGGGAGGAGAACCTAGAGAAGACCTGGGGAACCCTTTGGTGTGACTGAGGCCCCTCCCTAGTCTCCTGGCCTCTCCTGGTGCCATTTTTTTCCGGGTCTCACTTTGGAAGGCTCCCTCAGGGCTCAGAGACCCACCTTCGGTGGCCTGCCTGGTCCCCTCCATCCCAGGAGTGCCCTGTGGGACATTCACCTTCCAGTGTGAGGACCGGAGCTGTGTGAAGAAGCCCAACCCAGAGTGTGACGGACAGCTGGACTGCAGTGACGGCTCAGACGAGCGACATTGCGGTGAGCCTGCCCGCTGCAGCTGTGCATGAAGACCAGGCCTTGGGAGGGGGCAGGGATCCTCGGGGGGGACACGGGGGGGGGGGTGGCACCATGTGCCTGTTCTGTGCCTATCTGTCGCTATCTCCTCTTTCTGGGCACATTTCTCCTTTCCCCCACATCTCTCCATTGCTTTCCTTTGTTTTCTGTCTCCATTCTTACTAGCCTTTCTTCCCCCCCTCCTCCTTCTCTGTCCACCCCTGGCCCTCTCCCACCCTTAGACTGTGGCCTCCAGGGCCCCTCCAGCCGCATTGTGGGCGGGTCCATGTCCTCTGAGGGTGAGTGGCCATGGCAGGCCAGCCTCCAGATTCGGGGTCGACACATCTGTGGGGGTGCTCTCATCGCTGACCGCTGGGTCTTAACGGCAGCCCACTGTTTCCAGGAGGACAGGTGAAGGGCCAACACAGGGCCTGGAGGTGGGTGGAGGGAAGGTCACGGGAGGTACAGTGTGTGCAAACTGTATGCAGACAGAGGAAAGGGTAGAGAAGACCCCCTGACTGGCTGCCATGACAGGTGGGATCTGGTCCGGCACTGCCCCTAACATGCTGTGTGTTGCTAGGCTCGTTCAAGCTTCCTGTGTTCTCTGCTGGCTTTAAGTCGATGCCACAATTATCTACTCATTCTAGTGACCCAACAACTGTGCTCCTCCTACGCACCAGGGGCTGTGCTGGACATTAGGGAGGTCGTAAAGGAGACAACCGCCCAAGCTGGTCACAAACCATAGCCCCTACCATAATTTAAACTGTGACGGGGGTGCTGGGTAGGACCAGGGAAGTTCTCGGGGACATCTCACTGGCCCCCAAACCTTTTTCCCTGGTGAGCTGAACCCCTTCCAGTCCTAACCAGATTTGAGCCCCAAACCCCTCAGGTCCCTAGAACAGAAGCCAACTCTCTTGTGTCCTCCATTGGATTCTGGGGGCCTTTTTGTCTTCCCCAGGCACACTCTGCCCCGTCCACCTGCTCTTCTTACCTCTCTGCTAATTTCTTCACAAGTCATGCCCCTGACCTCCCTCACCCGCTTCCAGTCTGCAAAGTGAGCTACAAACAGGGAAACACTAGCCCAGGTTGGCACTGGGCTCTTCTTATGTGTCTCATTAGAGTCTCCTAAGAATATGGAAGTAGAGAATTGTCCCATTTTGCAGATGGTAGGGCTGAGGCCTAGAGAAGGTCAGGCTTTGCTAGGGAGAGATGAGGCTGGGGGTGAAGCCCATGGGAGAACCCAGGCCTGTATTCAGTCAGCACTGTACACCAGCCAGGGGTTTGAGAGGAGGAAGACAGAGGGAGACAGGATCCCTGACTCCAGGGGGAAAGCTGGCTGCTGCCAATTGGGTCTCTGGACAGGAGACAAAGCAGCTGGGCTATGATGCCTTCCCCTGCTTCCCACCCAGCATGGCCTCCCCGAGGCTATGGACAGTGTTCCTGGGTAAGATGCGGCAGAACTCACGCTGGCCAGGCGAGGTGTCCTTCAAGGTGAGCCGCCTGTTCCTGCACCCGTACCATGAGGAGGACAGCCATGACTACGATGTGGCTCTGCTGCAGCTGGACCACCCTGTGGTGTACTCAGCCACCGTGCGCCCCGTCTGCCTGCCTGCACGCTCTCACTTCTTCGAGCCAGGCCAGCACTGCTGGATCACGGGCTGGGGAGCCCTGCGAGAGGGTGGTGAGCAGGGGCAGGCGGTGGGATCTGGGATGTCAGGTGCAGGCTTGGGGGAGGGCTGTCAGGGTCCCATCTCCAGGCCCTCCAACGTTGGGATCAGTGGAACTGGATTTTATAAGATAGAATCTGTAATATGGTCCGTGGGCCTCTCCTTTGCCTTGGAAGGTACTGAAGAACTTAAGTAGGAGGCATAGGGGATAGGCAGGGATGCCCCAACTTGGCTGTATGAACCTTGGGGTGGAGGGTGGGGGTTTTAATTACTACAGACTGGATTGAAGGGAAAATGTCATATAGGCCACTCAGTCTTGGGAGGTGGGAGGGCATTATGGCCCCATTTTCTTGATAAGAAAACTGAGGCTTGGTTCTTAGTTACTGAAAGCCACCCAGTCAAGGAATCTGAAACAGGGACTCGAACCTAGGACTGTCCTCTCTCTAGGGCCCAGAGTTTTCTGCTTCTGCTGCTAGAAAGGGTCTTCTCCCCTCCTTGCCTTAATGGACAGGAGTTGCCATCTTTAGAGGCTCCCCCCGCCCCATTCTGCAAACACAGGCTTGGCAGGCTAACTGCAGAGTGACTGCAACCTTGGCTGCTGGTGATTTACCACCCGGAAGGAGGGGCAGGTGTGGCGTGGTGCTCGAGATTGAACAAGGGCCTCCCGTGTGCCAAGACAGCTGCCCCACCACCCAGCTGCACCCCGGTCTCTGCAGAGATAGCTTAAAGAGGGGGACGCTGAGGCTCAGAGAGGGGACTTGGCTAAGATGACAGAGACAAAGCAAGGGGTCCTTGCTTGGCTGCTCACACATGAGCACCTACTATGTGTCAAGTGTTGAGGCAGACACAGGGCATGAAGACGAGAACACTCTTATGGTGTGAGCTACCAAAGACAGGAACAGGAAATAGCCTGGAGGAGGCACCTGCCCGGCATGGCTGGGAAGGCATTAGGAAGAGGGGTCTACACTGAGCCTGGACCGACTGAGCAACCAGGTGTTGGTGGTGTCAGCGAGAAAGGCCTGAGGATGTTAGCAGTTCCCAGCTGGAGGGGAGGCAGGTGTGGCTACCAGAGGGCCTTGGAGCAGGTGTGCCTTGAAGGCCACCACAGGATTCAGGAGGAGCCCCCCCCCCCACCTACATCTTAGAACCAAAGGGGCTTCAAAACCCCAGTGTCTGGCCCAACCGTGGACTGGTGGACAAGATCTCCCATAGTTCTCCGGGACAAGATCTGGGCTGGACAGCAAGGGCCACTAAGGAGTTGAGTCCAATGAGAGGCTCGTACATATATTTGATAGCATCCCCCTGGGGCTACAATAGAACAGAGGGAGTCTGCCCGAGCCTGGATGCCCTTGTGAGGAAGGAAGAAGGGGACATGTTCTAACAGGCTTTTCAGGGGGCAGAGGTGAGGGCTTGGTCATCACAAGCCATGCAGAGGAGCCAGCAGTGACAGGGCAGAGCGGGGAGGGCTCCTGCGAGGTCAGGATGGCTGCAGCAGGAGCAGATTCCTAGCCCCTTTCAGTTGCTGCCACCCTCCCTGCAGGTCCCAGTAGCAGCACCCTGCAGAAGGTGGACGTGCAGCTGGTCCCTCAAGACTTGTGCAGTGAAGCCTATCGCTACCAGGTGACCCCGCGCATGCTCTGTGCTGGCTACCGCAAGGGCAAGAAGGATGCCTGCCAGGTAATGACCTGCAGGTTCTGGGCCATGGGGAAGATGACTGTACCCACTTTACAGACGAGGAGCCTGAGGCAGACCCTTGGGGTGGAAGGTCTTTGGCTCTGCTCCTTGATGTCCTGAGACCTTGGGCCTGGGTCATACAGGGAAGGACTGAAGTGGGGGGCCTCCCCTGAGGCAATTATGTCTCTCCACTCCTCTTTCAGGGTGACTCTGGGGGCCCGCTGGTGTGCAGGGAGCCCAGTGGCCGCTGGTTCCTGGCAGGGCTGGTGAGCTGGGGCCTGGGCTGTGGCCGACCCAACTTCTTCGGCGTCTACACCCGTGTCACCGGTGTCGTCAACTGGATTCAGCAGGTGCTGACCTGAGGAGCTGGTCTACAGCGCTGGACCCGCCTCCAGCCCAAGTTCAGGGCACCCGCCCAGCCAGGGCACAAGTATTCTGGGGCGAGTGGCCTGGCTGAGGCCTGTTCCCTCAGGCCTACCCCAGTGACAGCACAGAGAAGGCATGCCAGCTGGGGGTCAGGATACCGCCTGAGGTCCAGGGGCCAGCCTCCGTTGGCTTCACCTCTAGCCCTTTCTCCTTCTAGCTGTTCCCCCTCTTTCCTCCTTCTACCATTGTTATGGGGTGGGGTCTGGTGTCAGTGATGCTGGCTCCCAGTCTGTAGGAAAGTAAGATTCCTTTCCCACTTGGAGGGAACTGACTCAGAGAGCAGATTCCAGCCTGTGAGGCCCCCGTGTACTGTGGATGGGTGGGAAGAAGGTGCCTTATCAAGCAAAAACCCTCAGAGCCCTTGAGACCGCCAAGTGGGCCACACTATAAGCCAAACCACGGGGCAGCGCCAGCTGCAGGTGCCTGCTGCAGCTCCGTCTGCTCCGGGGCCCTCCCTGCCATTCACTGGAGGACCTCCACCTGTTCTGAAAATAAAGCACTTGACCAAGCCCAGATGATGCTCTCTGAGTGACCTCACACATCTTATGCCTGTCACTGGAACAGACCTGCTGCTGGATCAACCCTTTGTGACATGTCCAGAGGCCACTGCGGAGAACAGTGGGAGGGGACTCAAAGGCAGGTAAAGGTTTTCTGGAGGAAAGGAAAGGGCCAAGGGTATATAGCTCTAGATATTGGGGCATGCAAGGAATAGCAAGCTGGATACAGCCAGAACAGAGGAGAAAAGGGGGAGCACTGCAGCGTAGGGGGGTGCTGCAGGAAGGTGAGACCCGAGAATGAGCGGAGGATTTGACCTGGGGGCTATGGGAGCCACGGCAGGCTGGAAAGCAGAGTTGCTTCACATTTTACAAGCAGCACCCACACCATGTTAGGGCAGCTGGAGGCAGGTGACTGGCGATGAAGTCCTGGGAGAGAACAGAGGTGACTGGAGCAAGCCATGGAGGTGAGCTGGAAGATTTAGGGCACAGGGGCGCCCCTGGAGGCAGTAGTGATAAGTGGCACGTGCACGGAGCTCTGGAACTGACAGGCATGAAGGCAAAGGGGTGGGGCCAACCATGAAGCTGCCGGAGACACTGGGGCCTGCTAGGAAGGGAAGGGGCCAGGCAGATAGCGAGGGCCTCTGTCACAAAAGGGTCATATGGCAGCCCTCTCCCAATTCCTAGCCCTAGGGGTTTAAAATAGGGGTCCCACCTATTCTCTATTAAAATTAAGACAGGTGAGGAAGGAGGACCACATCTTTCAAGAAGCCTCTAGCTGGCTCCCGAAGAGCTGGCAGGAAAAGTGGGCTCACCTTTAGGGACTGCACTCCGCAGGGCTGAGGTGATGTTTTCCGAGCTGTGAGCTGACAGGAGGGTGCCCTGGCCCCTGACCTGAGAATAGGGACAGTCAGAAGCTGGTGGCCCAGCTTCACAAAGGGAGTAGGATGCACAGGCAAGAGGGCAAGGTGATCCAGCAGAAGTGGAGGGGTGGCCCAGGGCTTAGGCTACTGCAGGGCAGAGCAGGGAGCCTCAACTCTGACTCCTGGGTACAGGACTTCGTCATACACTTGGGAAAGTGACAACGGCAGAGGGTTCAGGAAAAGTGGGTCTACCACACCTGTCCCCAAAAGTGGCCCAGAGAAAGAGGGAGGCAGCCAGGCCAGCCTGTTTGTTCAGGTTTATTTCAGGGTGAGTGGGACACAGCTGACAGATGTGTGCCCATCCCAGGGGGGCAAGACACGGAGGGGCAGCTCAGCCCCTTTCACACCTGTCCCCTCCCCCACCACAAGTTCCTGGGCAGCCTCAAAGACCCAATGCACTCTGCTGCCAAAGGCATGGTGGCACGGGGAGGGGCAGCCAAGGTGATGCCAAGTCTGTAGCTTCCTTTCTGCTTGGCTAAGTCTTCGCACTGTCCCCCACCAGTATCTGAAGCCATAATGTCCCACTTGGGGGCTAGGCCAGAGTCCTTCCCCCCAGAAGGTAACGACTGCAGCCCCAGACACTTAGGGCTTAGGAACCCCATTCCTCCCTGGTCCTCACAACACCCCTGTGAGGTAGGTGGGAGGAGGAAGGTTGCCATGGAGGCTGCAGGAGGTGCTATGACTGGGCTGGGAGAGAGTGTATCTGCCATGCAGCAAGGGGACCCAGGCGAGGGGACAAAAGGACCTGGGAGATATGGGTGGGCAGTGCCACACTTTGGCCATGGGCAGGTGACTCTGCCTGGAGACCCCAGGGCCCACCTCAAGCCTTCCAAGGTCCCAGAGGGCCCCAGGCCTGGGCCGGAAGGCAGGATTGGGTCCCAGCCCGGCAGACGCAGGCAGCAGTGACAAGGGAGAGGGCAAGTCTTCCTCCTCGGGCCGGGGGCCCACCCCGTGGTACAAAAATAAAGGATTTCAGATCGGAACCCCAAGTCCCTGGAGGTGATCTGGGGGCTCACATCCGGGTGCCTCTGGCTTGTAATAGCTAGAAAATAAGAGAGGAGAGGGACAGAAGGAAGAGGAGAGGGGGTCAGAAAATCAGGGTGGGGGGTGAGGAGAGGGTGATGCCAGGACAGGAAAGTTGAGGAGAGTGGGGGAGGGAGGGAGAGAGGGAGAGAGAAAGGCAAGTGAGTCCCAGGCTGGCTCTAGAGGAGGGGTGGGGCTGAGGCCCAAAGGAGGCGGAGTCAGGACCGAGGAGGGGAGAAACTGCCAGTCTTGGGCTGGTGGTGGCAGCCTGGTGAGGGGACAGGAATAGGAGGGGCAGATCACTGCTTTCCCAGGCAAAAGGGGGCCACCGGAAGCAGCTGTTCGCCCCATCTTAGAATCCAACTGTGGCCCAAAGAGAGGCAGTGACTTGCCCAAGGTCACACAGGGAGATCAGCTTGACTGGGGGCTATGGTCACCCAGTTAGAGATCAGGTCTTTTCTTGCCACGCTCCAATCCTTGGCAGGCTCTTGCCAGCTCATCAGTCAAGGGACACCACATGTGGCCTGGCCACCCACTCCACAGAACTAGGGGACACAGTACCCACATGCAGTGTTGCACGAGCTTCTAGACATGCGTGATGGGGCAGAGACGCATGGCTAGTCCTCCCCTCCCCTGGCCTGGCTCCAGTGCTGACTGACTATAGGCAGGCAGGTACAAGAGTCTCCACCTCTGGACTTTTTCAGCTCTCAGGGCCTCACCCCAAGCCCAGATAAGTTGAGAGACTTTGGTGGGTGGAGAGAATCAGCCAAAAGCTCGGCTCAAGTCCAAGGACAAGATATGAGCACCCTCCTTGCTTCCGCCCCTCCCTCCAGCTCTGCCAGGCTACAAACCAGGGGCGGCAGCTCTGGGGGCGGGCGCGGGGCCGAGGAGCTCTCACAGCAAGCTCAGGCTTGGGTCTGGGAGTGTGCGGACAGGGACCTGCAAGGAGGAAACGTGAGGAGGCAAGCGGGAAGAGTGGGGCCTGTGGCCAAGGCCAGCCTCAGAGGTGCCCTGCTGGGTTGGAGGACATAGAGCAGATGCGGCTACGCCCCTCCTCCCCAGGCCAGGAGGCAGAAGGGGCCGAAAGGGGCACAGGAGGCGGCAGGCAGGATGCTTGGGGATGCAGGGCCAGGGGGCCCGGGGAGAGGGCACGGGAGACTGGGACTAGGGCAGCCCCAGGGTGGAGACGGGAGCAGGCGGAGAGGAAACCTGGGCAGGGGCAGAGAGGGAAGAGGCAGGGTGCAGATGAGATCCAGGAGGAAGAGGAGGTGGATGAAGATGAAGCAGGACCTCCAGCAGGAAGCGGAGGAGGAGGAGGCGGTGGTGGGAGGGAGAAAAGGTTAGCGGGATCCTGAGATGACAGGGCTGCAAGAGAAAGTGAGAGAGGGATGGTTATGGGCGAGGCGCCAGGCGCTGAGCTAACCCTGGTGGCCCGCCCCCGCAGTTCCCCGGCGGCAGCTGCTCCAGCAGGGAGAGGGCGGGAGGCCCGGGCTGTCATTAGCAATCGTCCTCTTGGGGGCGGGCTGCACCTTTCTCCTGGGCATCCGCCTCCACCTGCACCTGGGCCACCTCCACCTCCTCCACCTCCTGCCGCCGCTGCTCCTCCAGCTGCTCGTCCGTGCTCTGCGCACCCGCCACCGATCAGGGAAGAGAGAGTGGAGACACTGACGAGGGGGCGAGGCTGCGGGCGGCTGTCCGCAGGGACCCCCGACCTCAGGACAGAGGGGCAGGTGGGATGAAAGGGACCTCTGAGAGAAGAGGGCTTCAGCCAAAGCAGCTGGTGCGTCTTCCCTAGCCCAGAGGGGATGCTCAGAGATCAGCCAGGCTGCTGTTACAGAGCCCAGCTATGGGGAGGGCTGGAAGAGGAGCCACTGGGAAGGCCTTACTTTGGGAGGATGGATCCAGAGCAGGAAGCCAAGGTTGTCCCAGGGCAGTCACCAGCCAGATCTAGATGCCAGTAACAGTATCTGGCAGCCTGGGCCAGGTTGGTGACACAGGGAGGCAGAGCAGTAGGGCGTCCTGCACTCTTAGAGGAAGGAGCCAGCCACTGGCATTGGGGGAAGGGGAGGGGTGGTAAGGGATCACAGCAGGGCTGGGTGGTGACACACAGGAAGCCAGAGTTCCTAGGACTCCTGCACATGGGCACAGCGTCCACCTTCCCAACCTGGATCATGCCTATAGTGTGGGCCCTACTGCAGGCCTAAGGGTACTGGACCCTACTCAATTCTGGCCCAAAGGCTGGCTGCCAACTTGGGAGATTGCTGCCTAGGCCAGAGCCCACGGGGCTCCTGACATCAGGCTACCCAAAAGGCCTGGGGAAGGGTAGGACTGTGGGACTTCCCCATCCTGACCTAGGCTGACACTAGACAGTCGTTGGGAAGCCAGGAGTTCCGGTGTGGAATCTCCAGAGCGCTTATGAGCCACTTCTCCCTTCACAGAGAATACAGCAAAGACGTTGAGAAGAGAGACAGAGAAGTGTGCCACACCTGGGCCCCTCGCTCAGCGTGCTCTGCCTCACGCTCCAACACCTTTCCCTGTGGCATCATGAATAAGAGGCGTCAAGCCCACCACCCTGTCTGTGCCCTTGTAACAGTGCTTGCTACCTGACTGCTCCCCAGCCTGGGCCAAGGGTGTGAGCTGACTGGACTGTAGTGGCATGGGATGGATGACATTGGCTGTGACCATGACCATGAGCGTTATGTGGGTGCAGCAGGAGGGAGGACGGAGCAGCGGAATGGGGGAGAGGTGCTGTCTTCGCACAGGGCAGGGACTCACCTTGGTCTTACGGCTAGACTCAGAACTTAGGCCGTGTGGGGAGCTATGGAGTTCCTTAGACACCACACACAGGAACTCGGCCTGGTCCTCGCTGCCGTAGTTGTAGGAGGAACCGATGTTCACCAGCTAGAGGAAGGGTAGGACTCATTACCCTCCTTGCCAGCAGAGGGCAAGAGAGATAGCAGTCTACTGGAGGACCCAGGCTAGCAAGCGGCAGGCCAGGGGCCCAGCCCAGGAGCCCTCCACACCCTCCCTGGGGTCTTACAGATTTGCTCACACCATTTCTAGGTTTT